TTGTGTTAGTTATTTTAGGGACATAAAGTGAGAATAACGGGAATGGGTAACTGGGTTATTGTTGGTTGATGATAATTAATTTAATTATTTATTGTGGGTTGAAAACCCTATATGCTCACCAGGCTCCCAAGCCTGACCCACTCAGTTTTATTTGTATTACAGGAAGTGGCGCAAGGGCGTAAGATGGATGAACCATCAAGTTATTTTGTTTACAAGTCTGTATATGTACATATTTGTTGAATGACTTGTAATGTTATCGTTTATGCTTATTGGTCTGTATCGGAACATGACACCCCGAGTTTTGATTATATAATGAAAAATACATTTCTTTTATGAAATGCTTTGGTAAACATTGTTTTATCATGTTTTGTTTTTGGGAACAAATTCCGCAACTCTTTCAAATCAAAAGGATTTACTCTGAAATTATTTTAAAACCATAAATGAAAATCGGTCTTTTCTGGCCGAGATTTTGGAGATGTCACAATCTACCATTTTAGCCCTTATTTGGCCTTAAATCCCCATTCTATGCATGTTTACATGTAAAGTTGGAAACTTTACGTGTAAAACCTACCCTAAGAACTCCGATCTATGTATGGAATGAGCTGGATTCAAGCAAAATCGAGTATATAGTAATTGCATGTGAATGACTCGACGAGTCGAGTCGTGAGTCCCCGAGTTTTCCCCCTTTTCGTGTTTGCTGAGTGGAGTTGTGAGTCATGGGTGGACTCGGTGAGTCGGAAGCCATACTCATCTATGGAGGGACTCGGCGAGTCAATGCCCTGACTCGGCGAGTCCAAGGCAATCTTCTTACCTCAAGAATAGACTCGACGGGTTGTTCATACAACTCGGCGAGTCACAGGCTAGAGTGTTCTTCGGATGAAGACAAACTCGACGAGTTGTTCATACAACTCGACGAGTCGGATGAAGGATCATTGGTCATCAGTTAGAAGGATAACTCGTCGAGTCATCGCCTAACTCGACGAGTAGAGTTGGGTATGAGGACAAATGGGAAGGATAGGGACTCAGCGAGTTGGCGAGCCAACTCGGCGAGTCAGATAGTTGACTTTGACTTTGACTTGGTCAGGGGTAAAATGGTTATTTTACCCCAAGGACAGTTAGCAATGTTTGATTGAGTGTTTTGTGGGAAATTACAGATGGAGGATTTCCGGAGCAGCCGCAGCAGCAGAAAGACAATTCCCACACAGATCAGCAGCTACTACGAGGTGAGTTACCTTCCAGTAGCGGTGGGTCTACGGCCACAATGTCGGCCCACCAGTAGGAGTTGTATGTTAGATGATTGACTCTGTGATATTCATCTAGGGTTGCTACTACCTGCACTATGTTTATGTACTAGTATGATATGATGCTATGTGCTAGTGACAGTAGGGGAGATAGTCCCCAGATTACCGGTCGATAGGGCCGAAGAGGGCAGTCATGCCCAACCACGCTAGGTAGATTATGTGATATGTGTTGTGTGGTGGTAGTAGGGGTAATAGTCCTCAGTATCCGGTCGAGATGACTGAAGGGGAGGCCAACACCCAGATATGCTAGTCAGTATCCGGTCGAGAGGACCGAAGGGGAAGCCAACACCTAGATATGCTAGTCAGTACCCAGTCGAGAGGACCAAAGGGGTAGGTCAGGCACCCAGATATGCCTGACAATATATGTATGTTATGTGGTTATATGGTATGTGGTGTAGTGGGGGAACTCACTAAGCTTTGTGCTTATGATTTTCGGTTGTTGTTTCAGGTACATCTTCTTTCAAGGGGAAGGAGCTGGCGCGGTAGCGGTGCATCACACACACGCTTTTGTTTTCCGCATCATGAGTCATTCTGGGATTTTGTACTCTAACATTATTATGTTTTACGTTTTAGTTTACAGTCACGAGACATGTTTTATTAACAGATATTATCGTATGATGTTTTGTTACAAACATTTTGCAAATCATTTAATTAATAATGAAATTTTTGGCCCGTAATTTTTGGGATGTTACATTATGTGAAGCACCAATTATTTCTTTGCCTGATGGAGTTGAAGACTTCACAGTTTATAGCAATGCATCTGGAGTTGGGTTGGGATGTGTTCTAACTTAAAGAGAAAAGGTGATAGCATATGCATCTTGACAATTGAAAGAGCATGAAAAGAACTACCCCACTCATGATCTAGAGTTGGTAGCGGTAGTATTCGCCCTAAAGATATGGAGACATTATCTTTATGCCATAAAGTGCAAAATTTTCACTGCTCATAAGAGTCTTCAGTATCTCTTTAATCATAAGGAATTGAATATGAGACAAAGACGCTGGCTAGAGTTAATCAAGGACTACGACTGTGAGATACTTTACCACCCTGGTAAAGCAAATGTTGTCGTTGATTGAGAATTAAAGTTGTTTCGACAATTGTGGAAAGTATAAAGCAAACTTAGGAGGAAACTTCAGAGAAAAATGACCGAAAGGAAGAATGTTTGGGTAAAACGTTAGTGTTTGGTACAAACAACCAAGAGTTGAAGGTATTCTAAGATATGATTTGGGTACTTAAGACAGGAGGATTAAGAGATCTTCTGATGGAAGAAGCTCACAAGAGCATGTACTTGATTCATCCCGGCAGCACGGAAATGTATATGGATCTGAAACCCTACAACTGGTGGCCGACGATGAAGCTCGATGTTGCAAAATATATGACCGAGTGTGTGACATGTGCGAGAGTTAAGGCACAACATCAGAAACCGTATGGGAGTTTAGAACCTTTACCTGTACCCATGGGTAAATGGGAAGACATCACCATGGATTTTGTAACTAAACTGCCTATAACGAAAAAGCGGTCATGACATGATTTGGGTGATTGTTGATCGATTCACAAAAAGTGCATATTTCATAGCTGCCAATGAGAAGTGGTCTATAGAAAAGCTTACAAATGCTTACGTGAAAGAGATAGTGAGACATCATGGTGTTCCTCTAACGATTGTATCAGATCGTGATAGTCGATTCACATCAAGATTTTGGAGAAGTCAACAAGAGGAATTGGATACGAAATTGTGTTTAAGTACAACTATAACACCCGGAATCTAGGAGGCCAGGTTGGGGAAGGAAAAACCCTAAGTCAATGAGTCAACTCGTCGAGTCCAACGAAGAACCCAACGAGTCGGAGCAAGTTCCATGTTGCGGATTAAGTGGCCAACTCGGTGAGTCTGGTATGGGTTGAGAGAGAGAGAGAGAGTGTGTGTGAGAGATAGTTTCGTAAAATATCAGAGAATGAGAAAGTTTGTAGGGTAATACTCTTACATGAAAATTTTCCTTGTTATGATGAAAATACTCTTAATGGAGATGGTTTTTAAATGGTTCTTAACCTTTAGTGGTTCTCATTTGATCTTTTATATATATATATATATATATATATATATATATATATATATATATATATATATATATTGCTAATAAATTTACTTTTTAAAATACATGTGTTTTATTTTTATAAGATAAAGTCTGCTTTTAAATGTTTTCGCAAAATATTTATGTTTTCGTATGAACTTTTCTCTCTCTCTCTCTCTCTTTGATTTTTATAAGATAAAGTCTGTTTTTTTAAAACAATTATGCAAAATATTTATGTTTTCGTATGAACCTTTGTGTATGTGTTTGATTTTTATAAGATAAAATCTGTTTTTAAATAGTTATACAAAATATTTATGTTTTCATAAGAACCCCTCTCTCTATCTCTCATAAGAACCAACAACCAAAAAATCAATAGTCGACTTGCTAGTCGTTAGCTTCTTATATTGAAAAATATAAATAAAATTTAAAAATAAATGAAAGAGCAGCCTTTATATGGAGTCTTTTGAGTGGGACAACTAAAATGTAAGCAATGACGATATATGGGTCATACCACATTCAACACATTCCATTTGCAAACCCACACAATCACACGTATATTATTATAACTATACTTTTTATAATAAGAAAATATCAAAAAAAATAAAAAATTATGAACTCTATATGGCGATAAATTTTAATATGAACAAATACATAAGTAGCAAGGAGTCAAATCTTCTTTAAAAGTGATTACCATGATTAAAATTTAGGGTTGAGAAATACATAATTAAAGTTAAAAAGATAATTATTTAAAATCACATTTATTTTCAACTTCACAATTGTTATTAAAGGGAGTGGGTGTGGTTTTTTTACCTGCAGTTCTGCCACATTATTACTTAAAACACCGCAAATCCACCATACGGTAAAAACCACATTTTTCTCTTTCTTTATCTAAATAGTCTCTCTCTCTCAAATTGTTTCTTTCTCTTTTACCTTTTTGGTATATCATACCTAGTTTGTGGTAAAAAACTACATTTTATGTGGTAAAATTAATATCACTTCAATATAATGTCTACGTGGCACAGGAATGAATGTGGTTTTTGCGGCAAGATACCCTCCAACCTAAGGGTTTCTTACTTCTTCACAATTAATTTTATTTTTAAAAATAAAACAAAATCAAAATCAAACCAATTTTATCTTATGTTATAATACAAAATATAAATATATAACGACTTTAAATCGTATAAACATGTTGGTAATCAATAAACAGATCAATTTGTCTGCAAGTAAAGTTATAAAATAATGAAAATTGAAAACCATAAGTAACATTTACATAATATTTATTTAAAGAAATTATTAAATAATCTAAAAAGTAAATATTTTAGATGATTAGCATACAGTAGTCAGAGACTCAGAGTAGAACACCAAATATTCTTCCGCCTCCTATAATTTTCTGATTATTTTAAGTTATTTAATATAACATTATACTTAATTCAAATATTTTCTATTTAAAAAACTAATTTTTATTTAATTTGTTATGCAGAATCCTATATATAATCCACTCCTCTTCTGACAGGCTCCACACTTCAAGGACCTTTCTCCCTCTCCTCCGCCGTCTCTCCTCCGTCGTACCATCACCTACCAACTGATTCCGGCCGTTATCTTCATCTAAAAAACTGTCACTAACCACCATCTGAAATGAACTCCGCCTCCACCTCCGCCGCCGTCTTCAGATCACCAACACGCTTTATTCTTCCAGCACCACCATCAAATTCATGTAATCCTAACCTTTCGCCCATCCAATACAAACGAAACAAATCAAATCTACGCTCCATTTCCACCAGATCCCTCCAAATCTCCCATCCAAAACACGTAACACCGCCTGATGCTCCAAATTTCTCGAATTCACTCACAGTCGGCGAGAAGCTCGAGATTCTGGTTTCCGAATTCAAATCCTTACCGGAGCCAATCGACAGAGTGAAACGGTTGATACACTACGCAAGTCTCCTCCCGGAGTTCGAAGAGTCAGGTAGGGTGGAATCAAACAGAGTCACCGGATGTACAGCTCAAGTGTGGCTGGAGGTGATGATGGATGTCGATGGAACAATGAGATTTAGAGTGGATAGCGATTCGGAGATTACAAAAGGTTTCTGCTACTGTTTGATTTGGTTATTGGATGGGGCGGCGGCCGGCGAAGTTATTGGAATCAGACTTGACGATTTAGGGGAAATGAATGTGGGAATATTGCCGATTAGGGCTAGTTCTAGAGTTAATACATGGCATAATGTGTTGCTCAGCATGCAGAGAAGAACCAAAGCTATAATCATGGAGACTTATGGTGATCCCTCTCTTCCTTTACTACAATAGTTAAAATAAGAAAAGTCAATTAGCATAGCATAGTTTTTCTTTTCCGTTTATTTTGATTGAATTAAAATTGTAGTATTTAAATAGCTCACTATATTATTTTTTGTATATTAAAATCATTAAGTTTTTTTGATTTTTATTATATCAATATTGTCAACATCGGAATCCTATGTATGATCGTTTATAAGTTTGTAAGATCAGGTTAGAGATTCTAAAATCACACAAAATAAAACATAATTTGAACTTATAATTGTAAAACATAAAAAATATCTCAAACATTCAGTTTTCCGTTCAAAAACTATAAAAACTTTAAAATATTAATCACAACTCATAACACAAATAATAAATGGTAAACCGGTAAAAGAAAAAAAGACATAAAATGGTGAATTCATTTTTCTTCATTTAAAAAAAAATCAAGAGGAGGTAGGATATGATCGGATCCCGATTCTACGATCCTATCTATGATCTTATGATCTTACCTACGATCATATCCCAAATATGATCTGTATACGATCCGACTTATTTTCATACTTAGGATTGTATGATCCTACGATCATTTTGACAACCTTAGATTATATTAATATTTTATAACTACATAAACCTAAAAAGCTAGTTCCATTACCGTATTGAAAAGGGCTTTTAGTTCAACGGTATTCGGTGTTGCCCTCCTTCCTTGAGGTTGATGCTTCAAGTCCTATCGTGGATATAAGTGAATTTAACCAGTAGTTTAGGAGTAAGTTGGATTTTCCGTTTAAAAAAAAAACCGTGTCGCTATGTGGAACTAAAACATTGTACAACATTAACAATTTATAGAAATTATAACTTCTATTACATTAATGGCTATCTTATCATAAGAAAAAACTTCACAATTTTATTCATACTAAATTGATAATTGATCAATACTATATTCTATTGTTGATCATCATATAAATCTCTATCTAGACATATAATCTTAGATGTTCGATTGACATATTTTCATATCATACATTCATATCTATATCTATCTATCTATATCTATATATCTTATAAAGCTAGCATTTTTCCTTGATCCTTATGAATTTGAAACTCCCAAGGCTATTCAACTTATATTTTACTTAAACCATATTCATTTGAAACCTCCTATTTAAATGAATACTACTCAAAAGTCTCATAATAATGATTAACTATTCAAAGGTTTTATAACTTATATAATATGTTTAACAAGCAATTAATGGATGGTCTACTATAAAAAAACCAATCTCTTTGAGTAGAAACACAAATATAAATCACATATAAAATTCACAAAGAAAACAAGTTTAAAGGTTTTTGTGTTGGTTTGAGTGCTTTGGACCATTTTCGAGCCATGTTATTATATTAAAGTTTTTAATTTGTAAGTTTATCATATACTAACTCTTATGTGTGTGTGTGTGTGTATATATATATATATATATATATATATATATATATATATATAAAGTATTATTTTAAGCCAATCATTGCATGTTGTGGTTGAAATTTAAATGTAAATTAGATTAAATTCATATTATCGATCATATGTTATGGAATGTGATATAAATAATATTTAATTCGATATTGAATATATGTTTGTATATTTGTGTTGCTTGAAAGAAATAATTAATTAAAAATCATGGATGTGTCATATTATCCATATTATCCATATAAGTCTCTTTCAAAATGCAAATTATCTATCTTATCACTTTATATTTTAGTATATGTTTAACATTTTAATTATAATAGTAAGTGCTTTTTAAAAGTTTTTTTTCACTTAATAATAATAATAATAAATGGTAAATTTGAAATATCATGGATATTTTATATTATCCATGAAAGTCTCTTTTGAAATGTAAATTGTCAATCTTATCACTTTATTATTTAGTATATGTTTCATATTTGAGTAATAATATTTAGTGTTTCTTAAAAATCTTCTTTAAATTATTAATAATAATAAGTGGTTTAAATTAATGAACAATAATTTTAAATGACAATAACATCAAATTAAAAATTATGTAACGTTAGCTACAAATAAACTTTATTCTAAATGTTCATAACTTTTGAAATTAGAAAATAATCGCATAAGTAAAAAAATTTAATTAATCAATCATAATATTTTTTTATAAATATTACTAAATAGATAATTATATTTAATTCTATTAATTAGGAATGTGAGTTGATGTCATTACTAAATAGATAATTATATTTAATTCTATTAATGAGGAATGTGAGTTGATATCAATGAATAATATTATTCAAAATAGTTGAGATTTTATATATATAATTTAGTGTAAAATATTATGTCAAAGTTAATATCAATAAATAATCATTTTAAACATATACTTTTCAATATTTTAATAATCTATTTTTAACCTGCGTCGCGCAACGCATGATAATTCGTCTAGTAAATATATTAAGATGATCATTATTCCACATAAAATTTACTTAAAATCAGTTATGTCATTTGATATTTTTAACTAGACAAAAAGTATGCAACCAATTCTTTTTAGTTGTAAACTAATAATCTAATCAAAGTTAAAAAATCAATATAATAATTTAATAAACATCAAAATTAAAATAATAAATAATAATATAATACACTGTATTTTCTAAAACTTGTTCCTAAACTAAACAAATAAAATCATTTAATTGTATTTTCGAAGTTTCTTAGTGTAATATAGTGTATTTTTATAACATATTCCCTTAAAATATTATAAAATTATAAAATTTTACCAAAGGGTTTTTATTCGTAATATTAGATGTTTTTTCTCCTTAAAATTAAGGGTCCAGTTTCAAACATATATCATATTAAAATCAATTTAGTAGAAATAGATTAGATTTATATTTCCAAAAAAAACATTATAATACTTTACTCCAATTTTGGAAAGAAAACATGCCACATGGCCCTACACATTCCGTTGTATTCATATTAGCGGGTCACTAGAGATTCCCAAGGTAATCCATATTCTATAAAAGGATTTCCAAATATAGGTTAATAATAATGCAAATTGAAAAAGAAAACTTTCAAAAGCTTATTATTTTAGTTTAGGACAAAACTCTAAAAATGTATTTGTGGTATGAATTTTTTTTTTTTTTTTTTGGATTTTGATTTAAATCCCGGTTTTTTTTTGAATTGTTGTCATTTTAAACTAGTTTGTATGTGGAAATTTCACTTTTCAAATTGAAAAGACTAAAATACTAGTAATATGTTTATTTTTCATTTTTTTAAACTATTTTATAATAAATAAATACAAAATAACTCTCTCTCTCTCTCTCTCTCTCTCTCTTGGTTTGTGACCCCATCTGCAAAAAACAAACCTATATGTCTTCTTCACCATTTTCTTTTTACCATTGTTGGATCATTCAACTTCAAACAGAAAATTAGTTCCAAAAACCCTAGACCAAGAAGTTATGACAGAAGATGATCTCTATGTAAGTGTGTGTGTGTGTATCTATGGCAGAATATTGTCGCCTCGTTGGTTTATAACCAAATTTCCTTTTAGCAAAACTAATATTTGCATATGTAAAATGAACATCACCATTTCTAGGCAACTTCATCACCATTCTCTTCGCATTCACTTTCAGTAATTTCTCGAAAATGCTCATAAGATCTGATACAGGAACATGTGATGTAGTCTCGAAATTGAAAACCCTCAATTGCATATGTTCTTTCTTAATTCCTGCTGAAACATCCCAAAATTGTAGTCCAAAATTTTCATTTTTAATTTATAAATAAAACCATAGTAAACCAATCATCTCAGAAAAACATAGGTGATAGTAACTCAAAACATCATATCAAAGCACTGTATAAAAATCACATGTCTAAATATCAAAGTAAATCATCCCAGGCTAAACATTGTGGTGTGTGCAATGCAATCATCCCAAGCTCTTCCCCTTACTAGCAGAAGTACCTGAAACCAAAACTGAAAACTATAAGCACGAAGCATAGTGAGCACATAATCACATAACAGCATAACTTGGGCCTAGCCCACTACATCGGGCCTCACCCGACATCGAACCATAGTCCGGCATCGGGCCCCACCCGACATCAGACCGAAATCCGGCATCGGGCCCTGCCGGTATCGAGCAAAGCTCGGTATACATGAGCATATCAACAAATACATATAAAAACATAACAAATCATATATACATTCCTTGGGCTTGCCCCGACATCAGACCGAAGTCTGGAAACATTTAAACAGACACATGCAAGAATCGCGAAGACATCAAGCACACAAACATTCATCGGGCTTGCCCCGACATCGAACTGAAGTCCGGAAATATATAAACCTACATCGGGAACGGCCCGACATCGGATCTTAATCCGGCATATGCTAACATACATAAAGGGGCCAACATTGGTGCCTTCGACCCGTTCCTACTGGAGGAAAACTCACCTCGCAAAGTTGACTGTGAAATCTCGCGGTGAGGAATATCTAATAGTTGCTCCAATGACTCCCCGTCTATCATTAACACAATAACACTTAGTCAAAATCGAACAACCCTTCTAAGGATAAAATGTTCATTTTACCCCTGGTCAAAATCAACATTCTGGGCGATGTCAACATTTTGGGTTGACTCAGCTCGCCGAGTTCCATAAATCAGAAACCCTGAAATCACGATCCAAATCGTCGAGTCATCCCCCTGACTCGCCAAGTTCCCTTGCTACACGTAGTCGTGATAAAGTGAGTCAACTTGTCGAGTCCCTCCTTAGATTCGTCAAGTTCTATCCTATTCTGGATCGGGACAAATCGACTTAACTCGTCGAGTTCCTATATGGACTTGACGAGTTCCTTAGTTTGTTTGGGCCATCTTAATGGATTAAGCCCCTACCTTAACGCTTGATTCATGGTACGCATTTTATTATAAGTTATTCATTTTAAAGAGCTACTCGACGAGTTTGGAGCCCGGACTCGTCAAGTAGAAACGAGATTTGATGTGGGATTTATGTCGCCTACTCGACGAGTAGAGAAGCCTCAACTCGATGAGTAGGGTTGTCAGGATGAATCCCT